CTTGGCAAAGTTGAAGTACCATAATTTACCTCACAAACAAATAAATCTCCTATCTTAATCTGCATAAAATAACAGCTTTCTCTGTAGTTTAGATCTGTGCAAACATATTCTGAAATGTGATTCTTGTATGGGTTTGTCAGTTCCTCAGTTTTGTCAGTTCTTCTAGACATGTTTTAAAACATAAACAGAATACTGTTATTAAAAGGAAATTGCAAATCTTCACAACTCCATTGTCAGAAATAGCTCAATTAGATATTTTTCCCAAAGCTCTATTAACAATGTGTTAAGCCTTTGACCTTCTTTACACACATGTATCCTCCAGTGTCCTGCAGTGACCTGTCCTTCAGCTGACTCTGCACATATACTGTAGGTCTTAAAGCAAAGACCAGCCTTTCTCTAAATACAGTAACATGTCGAGGGCAGAGGAGATATGAGAAAGCCCAGTCAATGGGTTTTAACAGTCTACGCACGTATACCGCTCCCTCATTCATCATGATTGTGCGAGTACAGCCAGGCCTGACCCCTCCTGCTCCACTTACCTGCCTCTCTCCCTTTATGAGTCAGCACTATCGTGTTAAACACATTTAAGCCTCAGGGTAATTTTACAGTGTGATTATTTCATAGTTCAAATACAGCTGCAGTATTGCCATATTAGACTGTAGGCATGGCTTAACATTAATGTTTTCCTCACACAATGTGGCTATTATTTCAGCTAAATGGCCCAAATTATGCCAAACTACCTTTTTATCTTTTAATGATATAATGTTACTTATGATTATCAAAACCATTTCTATGTATTTCCACATTTTAGGTGCTGGGAACATGCTGTTGAATAAACTAAAGCATAATGGGAAGTAGGTGCCCAATTTTCACTATAACCTATCCTAGACATAGGATAAGATCATAAAACTATTAATTCACATTTTTATAGTTTTTGTTGTTGTTGTTGTTGGTTTAAAGTTTCTCTAGGTTGTGTTTTAATTAAAAATACACTGCATTGCATCACTCATCACTTTATCCTCTACAGATATTGTATTGTACTTAAATCAACACAATTTCTGGCAATCAGCAATACTATTAATGAAACAAACCAAGGATACTATAGGCAGGAAATGTAGGAAATGGTGGCTATTGCTGCTAATTGGAAATCTGCTCCTATATGTCCCCATTTGACCCCATTTGGCCCAGCTGCTGTTGAGCCTGGCTGCATGTGTGAGACCCAGCCTCAGATGTAAAGGCAAAGATAAAGCTCTGTATATTTGGAGAGACTGCCTCTAAACATACATGTGGTTTAGTGTAATGACACATTCTGCTCTGCTCCACGTCACACTCCCCCACTGGGATCAGGGGCAAAAACCACAAAGCATACACTCTGGCGCTCGCCATTGTTCTGTCTTATCTTTGAGATTTTCATTCAAAGACAAGGTCTTTCAGACAGCAACTGCACATTTTACGTTTACTGTTTCGTATCAGCTAGTGTGTGCTATTGATTGGGACGGCTGGAAGGTATATGCTATACATGAGTTTTTAGTGATGAATGAAAAATGTATTTTCCAAGGCCATAACAAACAAGGTGAAGATTTGAAAAGCAGAACCCTGCACTCACACTTCAGTGCCACTGGGACAACCTGTCTGGTGCCACAGTGCATCACCTGAGACCCATCTCCATGATCTTGAGCTAGGCTTGGTCAGGACTTGGTCAGGATTACAGATATTGAATTGCAAGCTCATACCTAAATGCATTGTTTTGTTGCAGCACCACAACAAACAAATTATATATTAATCCTAAATATTGTACTGTGAGGGAATAGTGTGCTAATCTTGTACCATGAATTTTGGACATAATTATGTCCCTACTATTTGCATTCTCGTTATTTTCCAAAGGGAGAGTAGAATCTTCCCTTGTGGCCGGTGGTAAAAGTAAACGCTTGACTGTGAGGGATGTGCTGCAGTAATTTGTGGCCATGCTGCTAAAAAAGGCCTGAGACAGACAGCAGTGTTTTCCACAGGTGCAGTCTGGCCTCACAGACCTGCCGGTTACAAGTTCTGAACTGTGGAAAGAAAAATGTGCATGTGCCCCATGATAAGGGTAAATCTCCTTAGGGAGTCCTGGTGTGGTTGGCACTGGCGTCTCATAACAAGGACCTGGGTTTGATTTGCAGACAGTTTCCAACCTATCTGTAAGGATTAAAAAAAAATTCTACTGTGGTGCTGATACTGAAAAAAATACTGGATCTGATCTCTGCTTCTAAATATATAGACTGTAGCCATGTTCCAAATAGGAAGTGAGCATGAGCGTGCTTTCGGCTCCATCAACTCCACTTCAATTCACTTAACAGTATATTGAAAAACCGCTGCTCCTCTGTGTAACTGAAGCTGTCAGACTCTTCATTTTGGTCTTATAATGTTCTTATTAACCCACTGTACATGATCCTGGTGTTTTTATTTAGCTACTTTGTCAATAAATCAAGTAAATCATTAATAACAGACAAATCAGGTGCCTTCTTTCCCTGAGGTCGCTCCCGCTAGCGTTCGCAACAGGTTTGATTGACAGTGTTGCTGGTTACTGGTTCTTATGGTCACAGTTCCACATATGGAACTTTGCTCCACATTTGTCCCTATAACTGCTACCCTCAACAAGCTTCATCTGATTGGAGATGAATGCTATGAGTGACTTCACACTCCCTTAGTCCCCTCCTTTTTACAGTCTATGGATTGGGCATATAAATTGATGCACTGATGTAAAGACTGTTTGCTGGAGATTATTTGCTGGTCATAGTCAGCCCTGATTTTTTATTTATAGAAATTTGTTTTGTGTTGCTCAAGGGATAAATAACAGCTGCATATCATATTTGGAACAGATTTGTCTTATTTTACTTTTTGTTTAAAAGAAATAAATGCTGTTTTCAGTCTCTACACTCAGCAGATACTTAAAGTTATAGGACTGAAGTCAGTATCGGACCTAAAAACCTAATACTAGGGCTGTGTTATTAATCAATTAAATTTAATTAAATCAATACAATTTAATTAAAAGTTTAATCATATCAAGAGCCAATAATTTCAAGTCATCAGTGATATGCTTGATGTTTTTAATCGAGATGTCCACAGCCAATGGATTCAGTAAAAGCATGTGTTTTTTTTAATAGCACAGATTGAAAGTCTGTCTTGTTTAGGTTGATGAAATTAAAACAGTAGTATGCCAAAAAAAAGAAAAAGATTAATCTCCACATACAGGACTCTTATTTGGCTTGGAGGAGGGTCCCATCCAGCTTCCATGGAAATGTTATTCCTTTGGTTATAATTTCTCACAGTATGGCATAAAACTTATCTAGTTCCATGGTTTTAACTTTTTATTTCCATGAAATCATGCAATTGACCTTCTACCTCCAGAAAAAATTAAAAATTTAGATATATCCATACAAGGAAAAAACTATTGTTGTCATAAATCTTGCTGTATATTATTATCCTTGTTTGTATTTATATTAACTTTATCTATTCAGTATTCTTGTTGACATAGTGAGATTTTATCACTACTGTCTAGTGTCTGTTACTGCCTCAAGTTCATTTTATGTTTGTGATGTTTGGTTGTTTGTCTGTTAAGAGATAGTCATGATCCCAGCCGTTCTGTATAGATTGCCCGGGTCATTTTCACAGCTCATGACCACAGCGTTATGGCGGGTTGTGTGTTTGACTCTCTGCCCAGCCCCACACAAACCATCACACAAATCAGTATTTAAACCCGCCCATACAGACCCACGGAGACAGAGGGACAGAGCAGGAGAGTGTGGACACCGCTGTACACTGTATGAACTGTCCTCAACTTGAAACATAAAACATCCCTTTGTTAGATTAATTTGGTTCAGACAAGCATTTACACATAGGATGACCAACAGACACTTTTTTCATTGATGTCAGTAATGAATTGTGGTGTAGTGCTGGTGATTTACATTTCTTAAGAGACTTTAGTTCCAAAAAGCAGCACTACATTGACAGCAAAATATTTAATAGACTAAATCAAATTGAGGCCAAATTGAGGCTAAAGTTGTGAACTAAACTATACAATTTATTTATTACAAATTATGTCAAAATCACATCTTTTCTCATGAACCCAATCTTGTGTCTTGTCTCATCATATGTTTGCACCTATTGCTATTCCAATCCGTCTGTGTGTATTACTATGAATATAAACTGAGTCTGTCTCTCCATGTCCTTCTTTTCCAACAATTTGAGGTGCTATACACAGCCACTTACTCCAACTCCTAGTTACTTTCTGGATGCTCTTCATGATATTGTTTTTAAACTTTATGTATTTTCCTTTCATCGCCACAACTCCAGATTTAAGACTGTGTTGTTGCATTTTTGTTGCATTTCTGAACTCCATACGCACTTTCTGTGATGGGTAATTGTAAGTTTTGAACACTTTCATGTTGGCGGGAACTGTTCATGTGCTGTGCCGATGAAAAGCAGCTTGACTTTTGTCCCCATCTACAGGCAGAAAAGGTGATGTGCCTTTGAATTAAATATTTGTGGTGCTATACAATTCATTTGACAGCAGAGTGCAGTAGATCCATTTTTAAGACTTGAGGTTTAGCTACTGTTCAGTAAAATGTTGCTTTTAATTTAGATTATAAGAATTTATATGGGGCAACAGCAGAAAGGAGACGTGAGTTAGCTGAAGATTTTGTTATTTATTGGTACTTATATGTTAAAAGTCAGATTAAACAAGTTTAATCTGACTTTATGTAAATACATTGTTTCCTTGTACTTATTTTTTGGGGTTAAATAGTTGTTTTTGCTTGAACTCCCATGCAGTTGTAGTCTAGAAATACTGAATAGTTTTGAGAGCTTTTGCAACACTCCCTTTTTAGTTGACTAATCGATCAGCAGGGATTTCCTATTACAGCCCTAAACCATTATGCTGTCCACTTTTTCTGTACATTCAATATGAAAAATGGCAATGTATAAGTATAATATCTGACAGTGGTATGTTGTTTGTGCAGATGATGCTGGTACATACTTTCCATGTGTGAAGAGGGACCCCGGGCGGTACCTGCAGCCCTGCTCCGACTCGGTCAAGACCTGGCTCCGGACCATGAAGACCGCAGGCAAAGTGCTGCTGCTCATCACTAGCTCCCACAGCGACTACTGCCGCCTCATCTGTGAGCACGTGCTGGGGTGAGCCTCAGAAGCTAGAATGTCAGTTTGTCTCACCTAAATTTAAAAGTGCGCTGTGTAACTTTTCTGGCAGAGGGTCTGGCATTTTGCTTGTCTCAATGCAGATGGCAAAGGAGAAAGTCACTTTGTCGACTGGACAAAAGTTTATTTGGCCAAATATGTTTTTGTCCAGTCGAGAAACTGAATTTCTCCTTTCCCATGGATTCTACCTGGATGACTGAGGGATTTTTCACACATCTAAATGCAGATGTTATTGCTTTGCCTGGAATGTTCCACAGTATGGTATAAAACTTTACAGTTTACTACAGTTCATATCTGGGGCAAGTCAACCCTGATTACCGTAAGAATGCATGTATTTCAAGGATTTTGAGTGGCTCTAAAATACCTAGAATTGAAAAAATGCAGGATGAAGCAGTTTAAAACCATACCGTGGAACATTACAAGTAACAACACCTCCATGGAGACCCACATCGGAAAAGTCTTTGCAAAGAAAATTGAATTCAGTCCACTGATCTTTAGCTCAGAACTGATGAAGCCACTTGGGTGAGTAGTGAAACGTATTTACTCTTAAACCTTTTGTCCATTTGACAGAATTGAATTTTCTTTTGGGATGAAACCTACCTGGAAACTTGAGGGATTATACATGCCTCAGGAAAGTCATGTACTGTAATCCCAATTTTAATTAACATTTTAAATGTACCCCCCCATTGTATTCCCCCAGCACAATATGAATCAACACAGTGACACATAATGAGCCATGAGAAACATTGCGCCAGTGAAGTGTACAATTTCTTGTTTTATGCTTTCCAGGAAGGACTTTGAGGAACTGTTTGACGTCATCATCACAAACGCTCTGAAACCAGGCTTCTTCTCCCTGGTTCCCCATCAGAGGCCCTTCAGGAACCTGGGTCAGTGCTTACATTTCTCTCACATATCTCATTCACTCCTCATTTGGGAGTGGTAGGTACTCAGAGTGGCAGAAAGCAAAGTAGCTGAAGTGTCTTGCAAGTCAATCTCCGGTGCATGTAGAATTGATTAAATGCAAGATCTTGTCAAACTCACACTGACAATTGCAGGGTAGCATGGGTTGAATCCTGTCTTATCCCTATGTTTATTTAGACTGTGCTTAGACATGGGAAAGGACAATATTGTCAGCTTAGTGCAGCAGCTTAAAGTTGCTGGGGTAAACAGTTAGTGAATTATGACTTTACAAGCTCATCTAAGTAAATATTGGCACTGGCAGATGGCATTAAATGTGTTGGTTGGGAACAGACTAAGTGGTACTTGGCTGTTGTCATGTGAAGTCATAGTACTGATTTGTAAAGAGCTTTTGCAGTCTCCTGGTTTATGAAACATGATTATATGTACACAGGTCTAAAAATGTGTTTGGCAAATGTGTTTCTATCTATCTAAGATAGAAATTACCTGTTCTGCTTGTTGCATAGTAATAATTTTATTTATTTACATCAGCATGAATTTAATCCCAGACAAATTAAAGGACTGTTTTTTTGTTTTGTTATCTTGAGCAACTGAATGCTGAATGAAGTAACTTCCACTATGATTTCAAATGGACTTAAATATGGTTCCTCATTACTTATCTTAACCCATACACATTATTTAGTGTTGTGTAATGGCTGCGTCAATTAATCAACTAATCATTATTAGTCAACTATAAAAAATAAAACATAGTTTATTTTGATAATCATAACCAGGATTACGTAGCCTATAAAAACATACAAGACCTGTGTATAACAAAGATGTCAATAGATTAAAATGTCAAAAAGAATCAACAATTTTATCAATAATACACCATTTGTAAATATTCTCCTTTTAGAAGCCTTCAGTTGCCATATTTTGAGCTTTATTTGGTTTAAAAAGCATTTAAAAGGCTCAATGTACAATAAAAATAACCGTTTGCCTAGTTGACGGATCGTAAAATGTATTGCTGACTACTCAACTACTACAATAATCTTTATTTGCAACCTTGTAGTGTAAATGACCACTTAAGTACCATGTAGTATAAGAAGTGCCGGTTCACAACAGTATAGCTGATATTATGGCATTTGTTGACCCTCTGTCTTCTGTGTCCAGTGAACGACGTGGAGGAGAGTGAGGGCCTCCCGTCTCTGGACAAACCGGGCTGGTACTCTCAGGGAAACTGGCCCCACCTGCACGAACTGCTCAAGACCATGACTGGAAAACCAGAGCCCAAGGTACAGCAGACATTCCACAGACACACATATGTAATGGTGCAGGCAGAGAGCAAAAAATACACTGTACATCTGCAAATCACATCAACCACATAGTAGAGACGAAGTAATCAAAAGTATACTTACCCAGAGACTAATCAACACAAAAACAAGTATTTATATTGAAATTTGAACCAAATTTGAAGTATCTATATTGAGTGAAAAGATTAAAAATGGTGAGAAAAAATTAAGGGTTTTAGAATATTTGGAAATCATCAGTATTCATGTGTTTCAGCTTTCTGCAACCATTTTCTTCATTCAAAAGACATACTATTCAGTGTTAAATTGTAAATTGCTACATCAGCCGTTTTTCATTAATTAGATATTAGATAATATTAAAGAAATTTGTATTATATTTTCTTGAACATTTTTACTATTATTATTATGGTAGAATCAAGTTTTTCCTTAGTATTGAAATCAAGTTTTAAATTGTGACACTATAGGCAGTAGAACATGAGAATAATATTACATTTTCATCTTGTGTTGCATCAGGCAATATTAAAAATCTGCTTGTAGAAAAGTCCTTTTAAAGTCTAAAGCAGTGTTGCCCGGGTGTGGTCTTGGTGGAGTGTGTCAGCACCCAGACGCTGGCACACTCCAAGTGGATGAGAAGAGTGTGATAAATGAGCTGCAGCACATTCACAGAGGAGTGAGGGGAGAGCACCACGTCATGGGCTCACTGCCAGGTCAAGCAACACTCATATTTCATGTTCCAACTAACAACTATGACACGGGGTTTCCACTGAAGTCACGTGATCAAACTGATTCAACTAAATCCACAATATTTCACAAACATTCGGCTAATGTTAACAGACTTGGGCTGGTTCTTGCCACATCAGTCAAATATTGAGCACAAAACTAGTTCAGTGTTGAGCTGAATCATACACACTACAGTTTATTTTTTATTTTATTCACTTTTTAATGATTTACCGATAAATGATACATACTGAGCAGATAGCATATAAAGGTGCAACATGTAATTTTTTCTGGGGGATGGTAGAACCTGTTTGTCTGATGCATGTATAACATTATTTTATTGCTAAAATGCCTTACTGTGGAACCTTTTTTGGCAAAGCAAGAACACCTCCAGGGAGACAAGCAGCTGGCGGAGCCTCCACCAGAAATGTTAGGGTACTTTTTTTGTACTTTTTTTTTAACTTTTTTTTTTATGGAACTGTGTGGGCCATAATCCTTTGCTCATTTTTGGTATTAGAAATCTGTACTAAATTCAAATCTTGTAAAATGGACATTGTTACCCTAAACCAATGCAAACAACACCATACATTATCTAATTATCAACATTGTTAAGTGGGGCAGAATAATAACGGATGACCTGTTGACATGTAGGCAGATTAAGTTTGTGAGCATGTTTAAACCTGAAGTGAGGAAACTGCCGGGCTGTCAAAACGTCTTTGTGGAATTGAAAGAAAGGTGCACAAGCCTGAGGATAAAAGCAAAAAAAAGAACAAAGTCTGTTTTGAGGTTCTCGTAAGAGGCTGTTTTAGAGATGCTGCACTATGTAGCTTTTCTGATTTAGTGTCCAACATCTACTTCTATATATTATTGCTTTGCCTTGAATGTTCTACACAGTTTTCCCTTAAACCTGTCTATTTTGTACAGGTGTTTCTATTGCTCAATACCGTGAGTGATGTCGCCTCTCCCTAAATCAGACCTATAATTTGGCATGGCGGCATCACCTGCTTGTGTCCAGGGAGATAAGTTAATAATAAGTTTAATGCCAAGCTGTTGACCCTTCCAGGTAACAGCATATCATACAGCATACCAGATAAAAATCATACAGGCTGAACTCTCTAGTAAAACCAACACGTCATCAGACCCCCTCTCTCCCCCCTTCCCCCAGAGCAGGTCAATAGCCGTCTGTTTAAGCCATGTTCTGGACTCAGGAATGTGCTACGAGGCTGCTCTCAGATGACCCTGGGCTTTCTCCCCACTTTCACCTGAAGGTCTACAGCACAGCATTTGAGTGGCACTAGAGATGCTGTTTTGGATTAGAATTTTTGGTAAGAAAACTACAGAACGCTCTCCAGAATGCTTTCCAATAGCTTTCTGCAGTTCAAAGAAGTGGTAAGAATAGCTAGAATGTTGGCCAAGGAAACATTGTCTTTGAGTGTCCAAAAGCACTATATAAGTCTGATGTTTTATTATTATTAACTATTATAAAATATTATTGATATAAACTGGAAATGTAAACACTAACTAACCCTAACATTAATTGTAGACACCCTATGTAACCCCCTAAATTAAAGGTGCATTGTGTTGCTGTGCTCTTTTCCCTGGAAATGTTATTTCTTTGTCTGGAATTTTTCATAGTATGGCATTAAATCTTTCTATCTTAATGGAGACCGAAGCAGACCAAGTTACAGGTCAGATCTGTGAAGAGGTGCCCTGGCTCACAGTCAGAATTCCTGTTTTTATTTGTATTTTTGAGCTGTAAAACCACCTGTAATTGAATAAATGTAAGTAGAGTTGTTTAATGTCATACTGTGGAACATTGATGGACCGTCCAGTAGAAAAGGTGCACAGTGTACCTTTAAATATAAAAATACACTCTGATAATCTCAGTTGACAGCCACTTCCAAAAACATGTAAACATCTATTTCTAAAATGCCTACTAGTATGCGTGTATCTGAAAGGTAAAATTCTTACTTGAAAGACAGTACAACTCAAGACTACCTATCTGTATCACAGTCGCACACACATTCAGAGCCACAGCAGCTTCTCTGCACATCGCTGTTCAGTGTGAGAGAGGCTCCGGACGCCACAGACCCCAAAGACCCCACACCGTCCTGACACAATGGACGCCCTTTCACTTGGGTCCGGCGCTTACTGCTCTCGAGTGATAAGCTAAGACCTGGGCCCCATCTGTGTCAACGCTGTCATCTCCTCATAAGTGCACACGCTCAGCCTCAGCAGAAGAAATGGACTGCTCAATCATTAAAATAGGTTTGATATATTGCTCATGGCGCTTTTCTAGACACTTACTTGTTGAAATATTAAATAGATTCTTAGTCGTCATTCACATTGCTTTATTTTTTTCTCCATATCACTTGGTCCAATAATCCATTAAGGTAAAAAAGAAGCGTCTGACCCAAAAGAAAGAGGTCTGTGCAGTAGGTTTATTGAGTGGAGGAAAGTGTTGTGTGCGATAGGAATTTATAAAAAAAAAAAGAACAAAAAGCATGGGGTTTGGAAACAAAGGAGGGAAGCTGCATTACTGGATGTTGAGGTTCGAGAATAGCGTCGATTTGGTTGACAAAAGTATTGAAAATCAGGTACTAAAACTAGTATCAAAACTTGATACTCATTTGTGTAAGTGTTGACATTTAAAAAGTCACATTCACACGACGGAAATGAACCTTCCCTGAATAGCTTTTGAATGATCTTGAGCTGTATCAAAACTAGTGTAAGACCACATAGTATACACCCATGGACCACTATGGAACCTACCCTGGACGACTGAGGGATTACACAAATATAAGGCAGCATCGTTATACAAAAGAAAGTATTTTATTTAATGCTGTGGTATTGAAATCAAGTTTGAGAGTCACTAAGTGCTGCTGACTAAAAATCAGTGTCGGAAAATTGTTGAATGATAAGAAATGCTGAGGGGAGATAATGCTGCATGTGTACAACTTTAGAAACAGCTTTTTTCATATGAAGAAGTGAAATAGGCGTAGACAATTATTATACAGTGTATTTACACCCTGCATTTCTGTCTTCCGAACTTGTGTTCAGTAAAATACCTTATATATTATTATTATTAGATGCACACGGAGCTCAGCCATCTGATTTTGTTCATAAATGTTGCTTTAACAGTAATCTATAAGAAGGAAAGGGACTAAATTAATTAGAATGTAGGTTAATAATTAACCATAAGATCAATCTGGGTTGGGTTAATTTTGTTGCCCATATTAGTGTTGTCATAATACTAACATTTCAAAACTCTTATTTCGATACTAAGGAATAGATATTCAACAAATACTGAATACTGATTCCTATACCACAACTTTTATAATACCATGTTGTTTTATATCTGTGTAATTCAGATATATGTGATGTTTATTAGTTCTGATACTGCTTAAGATCTATCTAAAGCTATTCAGGAAAGGTTCATTTCTGTCCTGTGAATGTGACTTCAAATTAGTATCTAGTTTCGATCAAATTGTTTATATAAGGTTAAAGAAAGCGCTTGTGTTTCAGTGTCTTCGCACAGTAGAGCATTTCGTGGACAGTGTCGGAGGCTAACTGGAATCCGTGTCCTGTGTAAATATTTATCAGACTGATCCCAGACTTTTGGAGAGCTACCGGCAGCTGCGGCCCTTTTGGGGAAGGTGTGGGGGGATTGTGATTGTGGAGCCCCCCCCCTCCCTCCTGTTTGTTTACATGTGAGGGCCAGTCTGACACAGGCAGCTCTGTCACAAACTGCTAGTGGAATGCCTTACATCCCTTTTATAGACATCTCACCCGGAGAACACTGCCCTTTTCGGATCTCCACTAAACAGCAGTGCTTGAAAGAAGTAGGTAAATCATAGAGCTAGTGTTCATCAAACTGATAAAATAAGGGTTTGCACTAGGCCTGTCACAATAATTACTATATAGACTTGGCACTCAGTACATGATAGATGGAACAACCAGTTTTTAGGGTCAATATTTTTCATGGCTTCTTTTTCTAGGGGGGTAACTTTTTTTATTTTTTTTTTTTATATGATGTGATTCAAAATTTGTTATCGTGACAGGCCTGGTTAGCAGACTGTAGCTTGATGTAGCTTGTATGTGCAGTCTCCTAAACTAAAATATAGCAATTAGTCATCCAGCTATGAGCTCCTGTCTATCATCGACATATAGCTTAGATTTTGGTATTTTGACCCATTTGACATTGGAGGACAGCATGAAAAAAATGACTAAACTTTCTTGGAGCAACAATATAATAAAAAAAAATGAAATGCATAAAAAAACTGCTGAGTCTAATTAAAAATTGCACTGGAACACGGATATAATAATATAAGCAATAAGATTAGATAAGCACTTGGGGCACTCTGCTCCAAGTCACTGCCCTCTCTTTCCCTGCCTCATTTCCTGTATCTGAACAAGGCCAACAGCTAATAATCTCACTGTTTTTACAATCATTCCTCACTTCATTTTCCCTTCTCACCGTCTGAGCTGTGGGTGGAATTCTTCTCCAGACCTGCCTTGGCCTGCTCCGATGTAATGTGATGAGTTCAACAGACTTCAATGTCTACTCCAGAGTTTCCCACTTACCATAACGGGGGGTACTTATTGGGTTTTCAGATTCAGAATTTAATTGGAGATAAAATGTTCTTTGTAGTAAAATTTGTGTCTTTAAGAATGTTGTGTAGGAAAATTGGATGTCAATATCAACAAAACAAGATAATGTAATAGAAATAACTGGCCATTTGTTTGTCTAAAAAATCCTCATGGGTAAAAGAGGATACTTGGGACAAAAAGAAGTTTGGGAAATCATTGGTCTACTCTGTTTCCTACTGACCACAAAAATGTTCTAAATATGAATGCAATTGCTCACCTCAGAAGTGCATTACCTTCTTGTCTGTTTTTTATGGTGGCTTTGTTAAAATAGTATTTACTGTAGCTTGTCACTGTTGCTATGTGTAATGTGTGTACTTGTAGGCATGACGTAGGCAAAGAAAATGTATTTGTATAGCACAATTTGTACACAAATTAGTTCAAAGTGCTTTACAGAATAAGAAATACTTTAAAATCACAATGCAAACAAATCAAAACTTAAATAATCATAAAATTAAAACAAGAGAGAGAGACATTAAATGAAAGAGAAGAGTGCGGAATGAAAACCTTTCAGTCATGTGCACAGCTAAACAGAACCATTTTGAGCCTGGATTTAAACAGAATCAGAGTCGAGGCCTGTCTCACATCTTCAGGAAGACTGTTCCAGATTTTAGCTGCATGAATCTGAAACGCTGTCTTCCTATGTTTAGTTCTGACTCTGGGCACCAGCAGGAGGCCCGATCCTGAGCTCCTCAGAGTGCGAGGTGGTTCATACGGCACTAATATGTCAGAGATGTACCTTGAGATGAGACTTGTACACAAGCAGAGCTGCTTTAAAGTCTGTTCTCTGAGCCACAGGAAGCCAGTGCAAAGACCTGAGCACAGGACTTACGTTCTCGTACTTCCTGGTTCAATTAATGACCTGAGCTGCAGCGTCTCACAGCTCATTTGGAGAGGCCAGTGAATAGGCTGGTCTAACGTACTGGATGCATGGATAAGTCCCTCCAAGTCTGCTTTAGACAGTATACCTTTGATTTTTGCTATGTTTTTAGATGGTAAAAGGCTGCAGATGTTATTGATTGATGTGGCTGTTAAAGTTCAAGTCTATCTATTATTACCTTTAAATTTCTAGCCTGATTTGAAGGTTTTAGAGAGCGAGACTGGAGGTGACTGCTGACACTGTCTGAGAAAGTTGTTTTGCATCCACATACTGATCTGTTGGAGTCCACTGGTCTATAGTCCCCTGCTGCCAGTGTGACATAGATCTGAGTGTCATCTGCATAGTTGTGGTAGGACACATTATTGCTGCGTATTAACTGGTCTAACGGCAGCATGTAAAGATTGAACAAAAGGGGGCCCAGGATCGACCCCTGGAACACCTCACAGGTCAAGGCGATGTGATCTGAGCCACAGTTTCCAATTTCAACAAAATACTTCCTGTCTTCTAGATAGGACTTGAACCAGTTTAGCCCAGTACCAGAAATGCACACCCAGTCCCTTAGTCATTGTAAGAGGATCCCATGATCGACAGTGTCAAAAGTAGCACTCAGATTTAACTGACTGAGACTTTCCCTGCATCAGTGTTCAGGCGGATGTCATTTGTCTCCTTGATAAGAGCAGTCTCAGTGCTATGGTGGGCTCTAAAACCTGACTGGAAAACATCAAAGGAGTTGTTCATTTGGAGAATGTTAGTAAGCTGTTGGTAAAGAGCTTTTTCAATGACTTTGCCAAAAAAACGCAGATTTGAGATGGGTCGGAAATTGTACAGTACTGTGCCATCAAGACTTCTCTTCTTTAGGAGAAGCTTAATGACTGCAGTTTTCAAAGCTCTTGGGAATGTTCCAGATTGAAGTGACATGTTTACTGTGTGAGCAAATGGTGAAAGCTAACTGTTGAGGAGGGACTTTAGAAATCTAATGGGTAACGCATTGAGGCAGCATGTGGATGAACTCAGACTGGTGACGATCTCTAAGAGAGTTTTGTCAATTACAGGCGCAAAGTGACTCAACTCTAAGTGTCTCTTTGGCTGCATGCTTGTTATTTGCATTGTGGAATTGACGCACTAAACCTTGTCATTAAAGAATACTGCAAACTCATTACACTTAGATGTGGAAATGAGTTCTAATGGCAGTGGAGCTGGAGAGTTTGTTAATCTGTTCACTGTTGCAAACAAGACATAAGAGTTAAACCAAAGATGTTAATTTTGTCTTCTTATGTACTTTAACTTCTTGGGTTCTTTTTTAAAGACAATACAGTGAAGTCTAATTACCTTGTTGACATTTTTCGGCTGCTAGCTGCAAGCTGTCTTCAGAACTGGTGTTGGTGGTGACCTGCCATATATCAGCTGTTTTTACTTCCTCAGACCTTGAGGTCAGAGAAAGTAACAAATTGCCCGTCTGCCAAACGTCAAGGTCAGAGATACACTGCTGCTAGGACATGGGGCTATCAGTGGTGTGAGCCATCGAGGAATCCAGACATGCTGATGTAGTACGTCATTTGCTCTGTATGTAGTCTTTTTTATCATAGTACATTGTCTGACAACAAATGAAACCTGGCATGTTAGTGTTGATCCTCATTAGTGATAAGGTATTTAATTTGCCAATTCTGTAAATCATCTCAAGTAAGTAAGTAACTGATAAATTTGACATTCAAGAGTTGTGTACTCCTAACCAAGCAACAACAAAAGATCTGGAGAAGGGTTCCTAGGTGCTGCACTGCCCTGTCCAGAGGCTTTAGGAGTTCTCAACCACTGGGCAATGGGAAAACCAGACCCACCCAGACATTGGGAGAAACAGTCAAATCCTCACAGTAAGACCAGACCCCATAGTCGAAACCAGGAACTTCTTGTTGCTGTGAGGCCACTCCACCAACATACACGGTTAAGGCATTATGCTTTTTGCTCTGTTGTCATTGATTTTACTGGCCCGGCCCCTTCCACTGGTCCCTGAAAGAAAGTAAATGTTCCCTGGGGACCACTGGGATGGGTTAAATGCAAATTTTCAAGCAGGGACAATAAGTGTAAAGATGTACAAATGTTCCTTTCCACTAGTGCTGTCTGTGTGTACATTTGTGTACATTTTGTGTTGTCCTTTGTAGGTGGTGTACTTTGGCGACAGCTTGCGCTCAGACATGTTTCCGGCCAGCAGCTTCGGGAAGTGGGAGACTGTGATGATCGTGGAGGAAATGGAGGGGGATGGGGTGCCCCAGAGTGACGCAGCCAAATCCAACCAGGCCCCAGTGGAGCCGCAGGAGAAGAAGGGAAAGTTTGAGGTAAGAGTGGAGCTGCTTTCTATTAAAGACCTATAGATCCTGATCCCTAAACCACGCCCCCGCCTGCTCTGGATCTCCCCCCTTCTGTGCCTCACTGCAAATACCACAGTTCATATTCTTTGGTCCCTTTTTAACCTTTTGACAGTAGATTATTATATTTTTTCTTTAGTTATGGTAACAACAGTTGTGGATATTAATTATTCACAACGATACCGTAAAATACTGAAACCAGTCAGAGAAATGGTAGCTGTGATTTAAGAAATTAATATAGTAAACGTTAAAGGTGATGTAGCTTTTATGGTTGAGGGGTCTGCCACTTGCCACCTGCCACTATGAAAGTTATTTGTCAGATCTGTGGAGCTGCAAGCTTACTTACCATATAAATGCTAAAATTGCTAAAAGTTTTTTAAAAATGACTACTAAAACTGTATGATCTGTAAACTATGTAATCTGTAAAAGACAGATAAAGGCCCAAGATTCAAGCGGACAATACTTCTGTGAAATCTTTATGATATAAATGTTTATTCTTTCACATCTTCTTTTCTGTCAGGGGTTAAAATAAGTAGATGTTGCACAAGGGTCATAATCACATCCCTTTTTGAAGAACACATCCTGCTTTCCCTGTACTCTCTTCTGACATAACTCTGATGAGAAGTGGAGCAGGGGAATTTCTGTCCATTCATTTCATCACTGACAGGTATCAGAGCCCTTTTGATCGCCCATCTCCTCCCCACTCCTCTCACTCTCTCAGTCATTCCTGCAGGCCTGTCTGTACATGTCTGAGCTTTGTGTGGCATGTCTTTCAGGAGCAGGGCATGAAGTCTCCCTCTGCGGCGTCTAACCAGTGGGGCTCGTACTTCGTGGATGTACAGAAGGGAGCGGGCGGAGATGAGGATGTGCACAAGCTGACCTGGTGCTGCCACTGCATCCACAAGTACAGCTCTCTAGCCATTCCCAGTGTGGAGCACATAGCAGGTACACAGGCTTGCTTACAAAAAATAAATACATGAAAGGGAATAAATAATGTAATGATCATGGCTAATAGCTTTCTCCGTAATGCCTAAATTAGCCATCACGGAGGTTAGTAATTTCAAAACACATTCCCCTCTTGATTCTAGTTCTATATTTCAACAAAAAATCACTCTGCAACCACTCTGCTCTGGAAACTTTGAACAAATAAAGGAATAAAAGATTTCAAACGCATACAAGCTTCACTGGCTACCATTTATTGAGTTCACCTACCAGCTTGGCTTCCTTTGCAGACACCATGTCAGCAGAATGGTATGGAATCCTTCTCAAATTCATCTCCAAATGTGTTAAAGTGTAGTGCTCACTGCTCACTAGTGGTGTAGTGGTTTAAGGGGTTGGGCGCATTTGGCTGTTACCACCTTGGCGGTGCAGGTTCCCTTCCTGCCTCAATCACCGTTTGCTGAATGTCTCTACCCTTTCCACCATTTCACACTGATGCTTTAGCTGTCCTATCAAATACTGCCTTTGGGCCAGAAAATGAAAAGAAATATAATCTAGGAGTATGTAGAAAATATGTGTTTCTGTGAGGACAAAATAGGAGATCGTCAAACACCTAACCGACTGGTGATCCTTCAAGCAACTGGGTCGGTTGTGTGTTGTAGCAGACCACAATGCAAAAAAATTTTTCATGGATTCAAAAGGCTGACCGTGTACTTTAGCCCATAAGGATCCTGTTATAACTACATACCACGTGCACCTGTTCCTAATGCTCTGCTTCTGCTTTTCCAGATCTGCCTTTGGATTACAAATTCCCCCGTTTTTCTCCAGACAAGCCCTGCACCAGTGGATACTATCCCAGACCTCCTGATTCTTTACTCAAGAGGTTCCAGAATCAGTAAAAAAATATTAAATTCTACATAATTTTGAAACAGTCCTTCCTTATGTCGGCCTCAGGAGAGGAACGTGCCTCCCATCACCATCTGCTGTGTAGACTGAGACTGCCAGAGGTGTGCCTGGAACACTTGTGTGTTTGTGTCTTCTGTTCATCCAAGAACAAACTATTGGTCTTTTGCCTCATACGTTTAGTGCAACGTTCAAAGAATTGATTGTGTACTCTGTGTGAATCTCTTTTGTTGAAATAGGAACCTTCATTAACTCCCAGAATTGAAGCCCTCTCCCAAACTATACATGGTGGAAAAGCTGGAAATGACATTTTGTTATTCCACTTTCTGCTAAATGCGCAAAGAAACACTTGGGTAATCAAATCTGTAGAATATTAATTTGAATTTTGTATAAAAAGAGGATTTAACCCACCTGGTTAAAACTGTATTCAACATAAATCGATTTCTCCTGTGGGCATATTATGCTTGCATTATTATGAGCTTTTTACTATGTATGAAGGGAGGGCTCTCATTTCTGCAGTTACGAACAGGAGGCCAGTGGCCTGGTTTCTATTACTAAGCTGTTTTAGATCAATATTGCAGTTTACAAAATGTAAAATAATATTTGTGTGATCATTTAATAGGATACTAAATACCAGAAGAAAAGCAAAATATGTCTTCATTATTATTTGAGGAGGATGGCCTTATGGTCTTGCTGACTTTTATATTCAATTCCATATTTTTGTGTAAATGGGTACTCTATACTTTGAAAAGAGCTGTGGTTCAAAAGCCATGTTGTAAGACATGAACAGAGCATTTGTGAATGTAGGCCACAGTGACACACATTGGGACTTTGTGTCGTGCTGTAGTTTTCTCTGAAGAATAAGACTTGAGTGATTGTCTGTTTACATAAATAACACATGGACAGTTCTTCAAAACTGACCTGGACATGGTTAGCACTTTACATTTTTTCCCATTACCTCTGGATCGTGTTGGTGCTGTGCGTGTTGAAGTTTCATTTGACTGCTCATTATGGAGTAAATCTGTCTTTCGTTCTATGTTGATTGTTTATTGGGACGTTACCTGCCAAACCCTGGTGCAGTGCTGTCTTTTGTATTTAAGACGCATAACTACAGTGAGAATATATGTGTATAATGGGTGAAGTCTGTGTGATGTCCTGTACTTGTTCCGCTGGAGTGACTGTATTAAAGTGGACTTCTTGTGCTTCAGTCAAACTGCTTTGAATCCTGCTTTGAATGAATGGTTTACTGTTCATCATAGGCAATAATATTGTATTCATCAGTGACAGTGGCATAGTCTGGCACCTGGTGACTTGGATAATTTATTTTTATGCATTATATTGTGATAACATGTATGTAATACAAATTGGTTCTATAGTCGGTTATATGATATTCATTAAAAAAGAGACTGGAATCCATTTTATCACATTCTTTGACTACATTTAAACTGTTGGAAGGACACAAGTAACTACTGCAAATTATTTCTATTGAAATACTTCCACACATGCAACATGTGACTGTGCCGCCATGAATGCATTCATCTTTGTGATCTGTCTATTAGCTTACGGCAAAGTCAGGGTAGAATTGGAGACTATGTAAATTACCCTTACAATTGGTGTGCCACTGCATTAGTCAAGAAATATGTAGAGATCCGCATATAATTAAGAATTGTATTCTGTTGTTTCTAGGCTCCTGTCTGGAGGTGCACTGTCAGGCTGCCTTCTTCTCACATAGACCCTGTATATTTGCCTTTTAGTCTGCCCTGTCTCAATGGGGGAAAAAAGCTAAATATTGTCAAACACTGACTACATGTAGGTTCTTTAAGATGATATACAGACAGACATTATGAATATACTGTAGTGCTGTTCAGTCATAGAAAAATGTGTTTCACACTTGAGCAGAAAGACGTGAGTGGTGATTGTACTCTGCTCATCTCATCCTGGAAACTCTGACAACTCCTGGTTTAGCCTCATTAGTGTGTTCTGTAACTGTCACTAAAATAAAGTCTTCTTTGTATGTAGCCTGTGTCTCTGTTTCCCCAAAATGTTTTAAATATGTAAGATGCATTAGTTACCAGACTGAAAAAGGGATGTCAAGGGAGACATGTTTTCATGCCAAACTGAGCAGCCCTAAATTTACATATGACTTATTATTTCTTTAGGTTTTAAATTTTGTGACAGGACAGTTGTTGCCAGCAGAGGCTGCGTTCTTTTTTTCTTTGGCCCATAATATAATCGTATAATACCAGGCTATATCCTAAAGCACAGAATAGCACCACATTCAATCTTTTTTTAGGCCAACGAAGGACTTTTGATGACATGGCCTTCTTTATTTGTACATCTTACAGGAAATGGTGCCTTTGTAAAATTTTTTAAAGGACCTGCATTAGATAATCCTGACCTCAAGTATGCAAAAATCAAATTTTGTTTTGGTTAACACTTGTAATGCTGATGTAGGCTTATTGATAATTCCAAAAACAGTGGACATGGTGATGCCCCATTTATTTAGCTTGTGTTCTCAAGACAATTATCCAGTCAGAAAGCAGTTTTTTTAAACTGGCTTTAAAAAATGTTCATAGTTGTCCTAGTTGTAGTTGTAGGCTAGCTTGGTCTTGGTTTGAATATGAAGTATAGTTCTGATAGTATCATTGTTTAAGTCCTGATTCAGTCAAGGTTTAGGTCCAGATTTAGTCCCAGTTTTGATATGATATTTGTGCAATTGTGTGAACGCACCCTAAATTTGAGTTGAAATTCAATCACCTCTTAATTATGTGTCAAACCCCTATAGTCCCTCCTTATAGTCAGCCTCCCTGGTTTATAAGAACCCCAGAGATGCCCATGTTCGTGTGTGAGACTGAGAGGAGACAGATCCATGCGCGGAGTGAGTGTGGGCTCTCTTGGCTCTCTGTGCGCCCTCCTTGCGCCCCTCCTCGTCGGTCAGCGGGACGCCCCTCTCGCTTCCACATTCCTCCTCCTTCTTCGCAGCTCACACACTGCTGCGGTTGCCTGCTTTCCGCCGACCCAGGACTTTAGGCCGACCGCCGACTTCAGTCCGAGCTATGACGCCAAGAACACGGGCCTCTGACAGGTAAGGTCCCGCTCTCCCCTCCCCTTCACTCATCGCTTCTCTCTCTGAACAAGGCTACATTTGTACCCAAATCTAGTTACAAATGGGTCTTTATCAGTGACCGATAACGCGTTTGTTCTTACCAGATATAACGAGCAGTATTAGTCTTATTCTGATTTAGTTTTTCATAAAAAGAACTATTGAATTTGGCAATCCGCGTGGAAGGATGTTTTACACCAGTAGCAGAAGAAAACTTCATGCTTCCCAGGAATGAAAACCCTGATGACATTTTTGGATCGTATGAACTCTCGACCTTGTCTAAGGTCTGTTTAAAATATGTGATTGCGAACTGATTAGGCTACAGTGAAAAGTTCCGTGGGACTTGTTATTGTAAGCTAAGTTGCTTGTGCCTGGCTTTATGTTTTGGGGGTTGTGGTGGTGTTATTCCTAGTGTTACACAGAGGTGAGGAGAGCAGCCAAGTCTGTGCTCTGCTCTTGCTCTCAAGTCACAATGCGTTTGGCAAATCATCTCTGTTTACAACCAGCCTATTAGAAATAGTCTGAGTTTGAGAGTTATTGATCTGTTGTCACACATAGACAGCAGCCTTTTCTAAAGGAACACGCTGTGTACTTACTTTTTCTACACTTACTCACTGGTGGCCACAAGGGATTACTTCTGGAATTCAACGGAATATGACAAACTTCCTTCCAAACCACTTACAAATATTTCGACCTTGGTCGTGTTCAAATTATTAACAGAAAGCTTTTGATTCGTATAGTTCATAGCCTCTTCTTAATCGCATTATAAAATACACAATTTTATTATGTAACTCATTTTTATCGTTTGGTGTTGTGTTTAGGCTTCATTATGATACCAAACATTCCCATGTCAAAGTGTTGAGTTATCACTCCCTGCTCACGGGGCTTTTTTTTCTATTATAAACAGACAATTTAACCTTTATTGTTTTTCCCTCTTGTCCACTCCTCCCAAATGCAGCATGGCTGTTTATTGGAGTTTAGCAAAGCCTTAAAGTTAGTGTGAAAAGCTGGTCACTGTGAGCGGGTGCTCCGGTCTGGAGCAGAGTGGAAAGTCGACACATGGAACTCGTTACTGCAGGAATGCATTAGGGGTTTGTACTGGCTCTCATATTTTCCTCCTCCTTTCTCTCAGCTGATGTACCTCAGAAATGCCTTCTCTCCGATGAGACGATGAGCACACACACCCGCGGGGCCCCCACAGTCTTCCTCATAAGTGCGCTGTGGCCCCTGCTCTGCGGTGCTGCTGTACTGGACCCTGGAGGAGGCATACCATTCATTGGGGGGAACTATGAGGGCCACCCCATGCTGTACTTTGACCGGGGCGAGGTGGAGGAACTACAGCGGGCAGCGGCGGGCTCACACCGTGAGCTGGCCAAGCTGATCCGAGATGCTGCAGAGGAGATGCTGGAACACCCCGAGGAGTACCTGCCCCCCTGGAGCCCTGCGGAGTTCACCAGCCGCTGGAACGAGGTCTATGGGAATAACCTTGGTCTTCTGTCCATGTTCTGTCTGCTTTATCCTCACCGAGCTGGGGCCCTGGACATGGCACTCGACTACATGGAGAGGATGGCAGCGCAGCCTAGTTGGTATTCTCTCTTTTTGCTGTTATACTATTATTATTCCTTTTTTGCTATTATCACCCTCACCAAAGACAGTACTCATAGTCTAGGCTACTCTAGTCTACTAGTTTTAAGTAGTTGTCTTGTTTATGAATAGTAACAGTCTTATTACTTAGTGAAGTAAGTAATAAGACTGTATCAAAATTTTACTTTGTCTACAACATGCAGGTTCAAATGAAAGTACACTTATTCAGCAGCTGTGCTTTCCAGTGTCAGCGCTGCGGTAATGTTTACTCAACAGACCAGTTTAAGAGTATGCCTGTGTAGACTAAAATCTGATAATTAGCTACTTTTTATGTTGTGGTTTTCAATGCCTCTTAGTAAGGAGAAAATATTCTGCATCGGTAGACCCAACTGCTGCACTGTTTAAGCAAGTGTTACTCTCATTAGGGGAATGCGTTTAAATTGCCTGATAAAAATAACAAATTAACAACCCACATAGTGTCAGCCATTCTGTCAAATTGTAAAGCACCATTGTTTTAAAGATGCATTGTGTAACTTTTCTGGTGAAGGGTTCATCAAATGCTTTTCTTCATGGAGATGTTATTGCTTTGTCTGGAATGCTTCACAATATGGCATTAAACCTTTCTATCCTCAAGGAGACCAAACCAGACTAAGTTACAGGTCAGGTCTGTGGAGAGGCGACCCCGCTCATAAACAGACTGGATGTTGTTTTTCTAGGTATTTTTGAGCTATAAAACCAACTGTAATTGAATAAATGTAAGGTGGAGTTGTTTAATGTCCAACTGTGGAACATTCCTAGTGGAGCAGTGAGTCTTCCAGTCAAAAAGTTACACAGTGCATGTTTAAGACTGAAAAAGCAAGTCTTTCTGCTCTTATCCTATGCTACAATAGCAAGCCTTAGTGTAAAAGAATGAGGGCAACTGCTCAGATTTCACTGTCCAACTGGAAATGTGTTCTGCAGCTGTTTGGTGAATGATGAAAGGAAATGAATAGTTCAGATGTGGGCAGAGGAGACACCGACTCCCACTCGCCAACGCTAAAGAACTGTCAACACACCGTCACATGATCGCTCTATCATCTACAAATAAGTAATGTCCTTGAATATATACCTGGAAGGTTTTGTTTTAGTCAGGTAGACCTAAATCTGATTCAGCTATTTCCACTAGCAACTAAAACCAGTGACCATTTGTGTGCTTGCTAACATCACACTGACAATCGCCATGCTGCTAAGTAGTATTCTGAAATAATTTTACTTAAAGGTGCACTATGTAACTTTTGTGGTGGAGGGTCCAACAGCTGCTTGTTTCCAGAGATAATATTGCTTTGCCTTAAACCTACCTATACTGCATTGATTCAATTGCAAGTGTCTTTAAACCAAAAAATAATAATAATAAACATGCAATCTTACATTGACTGGGGTCGCCTTTCCACAGATCTGACCTGTCACCTATATACAGTATGGTCAGAATAACAGTACAAGACAATCAGTGGAAGTATAGGAGTTATAAAGTTATAAAGTGCAAATAACAAATAATACGTTTAGAACATGACTCGGTTAGAGAAGTGCTTTCCAATTTATCATTTTATTGTGTTTATTCATCCAAATTATTGTGTAACTAAATTTATATGACCTTTATAATCATTTATATCTTCAATATTTTGACTTTCCTCTTTCTGTAAGTCCAATAAAAGAAAAAGAATTTAGATAAAACTTTCCACAAGCATGCATTTCTTGACATTTTATGATTAGAGGCACATGCTGATAGCTGAACCAGGTATGGAGGTTGGGGGAGTGGGGTGGCTGGGGTTAGAGAGGAGTTAATCCTTTTGTCTGATCTCATCTGGTGCCCCTACCTGCGGGGAGGGGGTTTCTAGCACCTCATTCCTAGGGGCTGCAGTAAGTGGTATTAGGGCATTAGGGTGCAGGACATTTTCCCAGCTTTGGTATGTGTGCCACAGCGCAGCGAGGGAAAGCCACTGAGCAAGTGTTTTCACATGTTCAGAGCTTGCTGTGAGTTTTCCCCTTGGCTGCATTTTATTATGGTCAGCCGAGTTCTCAGGGCGACACAGCTGTGGTCTGCAGGGCCTTCAATTATGTGTGCTGCTGCTGCTCTCGTGCTCCAGGAGGTCTGTGTGTCTGCAGGGCTCTGGAGCTCCTGTCTGCACCAGGATCTTATGTCAGGCAAAGAGCTGTGTCATGTTTGGAATGATACCGAACTCTCACCAACGTCTGTCATTTACAATACATACAAATAAATGTGAAAATGAGTT